CATCGTAATAATATTACATACTGAGATATCCTTGATAGAAGAAGCCCCCCCCCCTACCCCGTCCCCCATGTACACATTAGAGTGTTTATTATATATATATATGTATGTTTGCTTTAACAGGGGGGTAGAGATATTTACATTCTCAGCAGAAAATAGAACTTATTCAAGAGGCTTTTTAAAAATGTCGCTGGGTACCAACAGCAAATCTCCTTCTGTCGCTCTCTGACTACCAGTTCCTCTATCCTCTCTCTCTCTCTCTCTCTCTCTCTCTTTCTCTCTTTCTCTCTCTATGTATATAGTATATTATATGTCATTATCTGTGTCTCTCCCCTATTTATCTATCTATCTATCTATCTATCTATCTATCTATCTATCTATCTATCTATCTATCTATCTATCTATCTATAAGTGTGTTGTTTGTTTAACTGTAGTGTGTGTGTATACTGTATTGTGCGCGCGCGTGCGTGTGTATTTGTGTGTGTATGTATGTGCTTGACTGCGGTTTGTATGTATATGTATGTATGTATGTATGTATGTATGTATGTATGTATGTATGTATGTATGTCTGTCTGTCTGTCTGTCTGTCTGTCTGTCTGTCTGTCTGTCTGTCTGTCTGTCTGTATATGTGTGTGTAGTGTGTGTGTGTGTGTGTGTGTGTGTGTGTGTGTTATGCTGTGCACGCGTCTGTGCTTGTATGTGTGTGTGTGCGTAGGTCTATGTGTATGTGGGGAAGGGGGGGGAGGGGTCTATCGATCATTGTGTTAACAGAGGCATACATAATGTACTTAATTCTCCACACGGGGTTTATAAGCCTCTCCTAAGTAAATAGACAGCTTTCATAATGACACTGTTGGTTACGGGCCCTGTCAGCAGGGAGAGTGGGTGGTTGGAGGACGTCACTGTTAGGTCCTATTTCTGTTCTTTTCTCTCCTTTAATATAAAAAGGTGGGTGGTTGGCGGGTGCTCTGGTGTGGTCTGGTCCTTCTTTCCTGTCAAACATCTATCGTCCTTATCTCTCCCCTTTCTTTTGTGTGTTTGTTACTCTCTTGTAACACATCTATTCTTCGGCTCTTATATGACCTTATTGTGCTGCTAGTGCCGTAAAACTCTTACCCCCCCCAAAAAAAGTGTCTTTGAAGATGGTCGAATGGTGCCACTGGTACCGCGTTCTAGCCCTTTTTCTTTCCCTCTTTTCTTTCCCTCTTTTCTTTCCCTCTGTTCTGTCCCTCTTTTCTTTCCCTCTTTTCTTTCCCTCTGTTCTGTCCCTCTGTTCTGTCCCTCTTTTCTTTCCCTCTTTTCTTTCCCTCTTTTCTTTCCCTCTGTTCTGTCCCTCTTTTCTTTCCCTCTTTTCTTTCCCTCTGTTCTGTCCCTCTGTTCTGTCCCTCTTTTCTTTCCCTCTTTTCTTTCCCTCTTTTCTTTCCCTCTGTTCTGT